CGCGCTTGCGTCCCCTCTGAAATGAGAAAATCAGAGAATTCAGAAGAGAAAAAAAGGGTAAAAAAAAATTTCACACTTTTACCTCGTTCTGTCTCTGGTGTTTTATTTCAAATAGCAGTTTTTTGTCTCAGTGTAAAACCAACAGGTTTTCTTAATTGAAAATTTATGTCTGTATCCTCATCTATATTCAGGACATCTTACTACTTAATGGTAAGATATTCCTATCTATATTCATAGGACCACTCCAACATATAGGACACTGACTGGTTCGTGGTTAGTATCTTTATACTTATGTACATCTCTATAGGAATACTCCAATATATCTAGAACACTGCTTTCTTGGCTCTTCGCTATAGGCAGATTTTGTTTCTTCTGCCTCCCTATGTTAATAAGAAGGTGGTCCAGCAGGTTCTTTCCACGTCCTTGCTCACCACCGCCCCCCCGCCTTTAATGCTTTGGCCAAGGGTTTTATTGCATATTACCTTGGCATGCGCCCTTGGTTTGATCTGAATTTTCCTGTGTTCCGTTGTGTAGTTGTGCAGCCCAGCTCAATGGCTCCTCTTACAGGACTACTGAAAAACAGAACACCTTTTTTCATTGTCCTCTTCCCCAGAGAGAGCAGGAAGCTCTGCTGGTCCCATAGACTTGGACTCAGTAGAACTGCCTGCCTGCCTGACTGTTGCCCTAGTAAAGTTATAAGGGTAACAGCTGATGTATACCAGTTAAAAAGAGACCATTGTGATAGCACCAGCTATTCCTTGCTGTTTTGTTTTAAACCAAAATAGTTCAGTTTTAGAAGATAGTTTGGTTGGGTGATGATTTTCACTTTCTTTTTTACTCTTGTAATTTTATAGAGTCATGGAAAATTATACTTATAAAAATACGCTTAAAATATATTTTATTCTAATCTTTTTATTTAAAATAGTAGTGGCAGAAAAAAAAAGGGTAGCTAGGCATCAAGGCCCAAGCTTTAATCCCAGCGACTGAGGCAGGAGGATTGCAAATTTGAGGTCAACCTGGGCAATTTAGTTCAAAGGTGGTGTAGCACAGTGCTACAGCGCTTGCCTAGCGTTTGTGAGGCCCTGGGTTCAAACCCTAGTATCACTAACAAAAAAGAGTTCATACTGAATGATAATTGAGTGGGTTCAGTTTTCTTCAGGATTCTTTTTAAGATTATTTATTTTTGAATCACAAGTATTTTAATTCCTAGTAGTTTTCAGCACAAAATGAAATGTAAACCCCCACAGCATCTGTTTATACATATTCCCTCTGTTTAAAACATTTGCTTTTAATTTGAAGAGGAAATTTTCCACTGGTTGAATCAGAATCCATTATTCTTGGTAAAATCTATGCTTTATACTACCAAGTTTGAATTCTTTTTTAACATTGATAAAATGTTAACATTGGTAAAAGTTGATTTTTTTTCCTTAATTGAAGAAGTTTTGGTTTCATGGTGGAATTTAAATAAAATGTTAATCTTGATAAATTTAACTCAAGTTAATTTAAAAATTAGTGTCATTAATATTGAAGCAGCTTCGATACATTAATTAAACTGCCTGGATTTTTTTAGGAATACCATTAAAACAAACCTTAAAGGGAAGTCATAGATAAACATAATGTAACCGGAATTATCACTAAAGTAGCCTTGCATAGTACCACAATTTCATAGAGCTTTAATTTTGCAAGTGACTTAGCTATTTTTTATATCAACAAAGGAACCCAAATACAGCCTGGTCTTGTTATTAAGCATTCTGTTAATCAAAATTTTGCCAACAAAGTCTAATGTTCCTGTAGTGTGATGACTGATGAAAAATTCTAAAGTAACTTTTATACCATGCAAGTAGATTACATTGCTAAATGTTTTAGTAGTAAATATATTATTTACATTCATTAGAATACTAATTATTATGTTAATGATGGTAGTAACATACGTCTGTCTGACACTTTAAAACCAAGATTCATTATCCTCCTAACAATGTCTGCTAACAAAAAATAAATAAAGTTTTGGGCTGAGATTTAGCTTAGTGGTACCACCACCTGCCTTGCAAGCACAAGGTCACAAGTTCCATTCCCATACCAAAAAAAAAAAAAAGCTTTTCCATTGAGTGTTTTTTAATCAATAATTTTTTTGCTTATTAAAATTTGTGGTAATATTACCATAATATATTAATTTATACCATATAAAATTGCCATTTTTTTAGATTTGAGAATGATTTAAAAACCAGCGGTTTTAACAGCGGGGCATGATGGCTCATGCCTATAATCCAGCACTTGGGAGACTGAGGCTGGGAGGATTGCTGGGAGTTGAGGCCAGCCTGAACTACACAGTGAGAACCTGTCTCAAAAAACAAAATAAACAAACAAACAAAATACCCCAACAGTTTCATTTGATTCAACAGATTTTGTTTTTAATGTTAATACTGCTATTTCTTGTTTTTTCACCTTTGCAATATTCTGGATGATCTTCTGTTTGGGAAGTTGAGGGTATAGTTGAGGCCCATACAGCAGTCCTTCATTCTGGTCCATACTTTACAGTTCCCAGTTAAATTAGTGTTCAGTAGCCTATGACTATGACAGTGTGCCTTTTTATTTACAGATGAGCCATAATAGGTACTGTTATTACATTTTCTTCTTGTACAACTTTTATTTCTCCTAGATGAAATTTTTGTGTCTTATTTTTCATTTGCTTAGTTTTCTTTGTTTTTAGTCACTAATTCATCCTCAAACTCTGACAAAACTGAAAATCTTTCAGTATTTTCAGGTAATCTTTCAGTTTAATTTCTTTTTCCTGGGAGATGGTTCTACCGTACCTCTCCTTACTACAGTATAGGATTGGTTTGCTCTCTGGACTACTGCATAGCCATCATCCTGGGACTTCCCTTTGTCATCATCTTGGAAAATCCCTTTGCCATTACCTGTGTTGGATCTCCTTTTTCCTGGCTCCTGTGTCTTCCTTTTTCTTTAGTAGCTTCCTGAGAAAGGGCACATACAAAATCTCACGTTCCTTCCTGAATTCAGAATTTGCATATTTGGAATGCCTTTATTTTTACCTACACATTTGAATGGTGAGTCAGCTCAATGATGAATTAATTCTACATTGAAAATTAGTGTCTTTCTTTTGAAGGTATCATTTCATCATTAGCTTCTAGTGTTGATATTGAGAAGGCAGATGTCATTGTAATCTCTATTCTCTTTTTCCTTCTATTTGGAAAAATTTTAGAATCTTCAATATCCCTGGTGTTTCTGGCATTTCTTAATGCAGCTTGGTATAGGTCTTTTTCTTTCCTTTTGCTTATGGAGTAGATTATATTTACCAAAAATCACTGTATGGTATATCTGCGCATGCACACGCACACACACACAGAGCCCACCTTACCCAGTATGCTATTCTTTGTATGTTTGACTTGCCTCCTTCTAGAGATTGGGTCTTTATTTCCTTCCCTAGGACCTATGCAGACATAAATTTTTCCTGGAATGTTTTAGGTCTTAGTATCATGACTCAGGAGCACAGCTGGATAATCCACGGGCATGCATCTGGCATTGCTAGGTGTCCAGGGTCATCAAGCCAAGTTCCCCTAACACACACATTTGCCTTATGGCAGCTTTTCAGGCATTTTGAGATTAATCACTGGAGATGCCTTTGTATTCATTAGGAAATATGGGATATTAAGATTTTTTTTTTTTACTTTTAAATGAAATCATCAATGAAAATATCAGTTAACATCAAAGAGTTTCTTCAAACAGTAGAATGAAATTCACCTCTAGAATGAACATGATGGCTGTCAACTGAATTTAAAGGAATCTGCTATAGGAAATAACAAAGCCATTCATTGACCAAAACCTATCTTTAAGCTTCATGATTAAATATCTCACTGGTGAATGTGACGAATAAATTGCAAGAGTTTTTGTGACAAGAAGATAGAGACAAATTGAACTGCAGAGACACACATCAACTGGACATTGTTAGTGTCCTAATCATCTCATAGACACATATTTTTAAAATATTTTTACCCATAACTTTTTCCCTATTTATAGCTACCTTATCCTTCATCTAACTTTTTTACTAGACAACTACAGATTCCTGTCCAAAAATCTGAAGTGGGCACTCAGCACCACCTGGTAAGGCTACCACTGATTTTCTTATATTATATTGGCCATCTTTCCATTGTTGGGACAAAATATCTGACACATTTACAGGAGAAAAAGAGTTTGGCTCCTTTGGTTCTTGGCTCACAATTTCAGAGGTTTCAGTCCATGGTCAGTGGGCTCAAAGGAAGAAGCATCATAATAGAAGACATGGCAGAGGAAAACTGCTCACTTCATGGCAGTCAGGAAGCAAAGAAAGGAAAAGAATCCTAGAAGAGATATAGCTTTCAAAGGCATGCCCCCAGTGACCTACTTCCTCCACTAGGCCCCACCTCCTGTCAGCCCATTCACCCAATCATTGTTGGATTAGGTTAGTGACCACAGGATCCAATCACCTCTGTAGACTCCACCTCTGAACCCTGTTCCACTGGGGAGCAAGCCTTCAGTACATGAGATACTTACTATTGTTTATTTTTAAAATTTCATTTGTACATGTTTTTGTTAGTACATAAAAATTACATTCATCTTGGGGAGTTGTTACATGAACATAACACATCTTAATTTTTTTATACTCCATTCC